GTGGAGCGCCCCAAGAAGCCGCTGACGGCCTACTTCCGCTTCGTGAAGGAGAACCATTCCGCGTTCCGGCAGAAGAACCCAGGTACGAGGGCCCCGAGCGGGAGGGCCCGCGGCCGGCCTGGCCGTGCCTGTGGAAGCGCCGGAGGTTTTGTGTCGGAGCTGCCGACGCCTGACGTGCGGTGCTTTCCCTTCGGGCTGTGTGATGTAGAAAGGAGGAACTGGAACAAAACGCTGTTTAGTAACAGCACGCGTCACGAAGCAGTTAAAGTACCTTACCCCGACCCAAACCTTCTTCCTACCTCTAGCGTTCTGCAGACAAATTCAGCATCATCGTGCTTGCTGCCCGAACGCGTATCGCCCCGTGTTCTCTGCTTCCTAACGCCAAAAAAGTGAACGTTTGTGCGTAACTGGGGACACGTTTGAAGAAGGAGCTTGCCTGGAAAATGCTTGTTAACGATGATTTGTGGTTTTCAGGTGGTTTTAAGTCTGTGTGTGTTGGAAGCACGCAGCAGTTCACGAACAACCTGCTCTGGTGAGAAGTGTCCCTGCCCGTGGCCGGGGGTTGGAACTATGTGGTATCGAAGCTCCCTTCCAGCCCAGACCATCGTGATACAAGGAGCTGTACATGATTTTCTTCTGATCCTTAGTAATTTAAAAATCACGCATAACTGCGTTGCCTCGCTGTATGCAGGAGAAAAAGTAAACGTATTTATTGGAAAGCACTATTGTGTGAATGCATTGAATTTGTTATCAAAAACTTCATTAACAGGCAGTGCAGTTGCTCTTCTTGTCAGAGAGCAGCAGAATGGAAAGCTGTGCCGATTCTGAAAATACTGTTTAAATGAATGTTTAAGGAGTTGTGGTGATACTGGGCAGGTCACGAGGTAAGCTCAAGTAGGGAAAACCATTTGGCGCCCTGTTTTGCCTGGTGGTTCAAGAGTTCAATGGTCTGCAAGGCTGAGAACTGAGCTTGCAGAGCTTACCGTAGTTCTGTGCCACACCAGTGTTTTCCACATATTTCCAAAACTCAACCTGCAAATAAATGGACTGTATCTCATACGCAAATCAAGAACTTGAGGTTTTCTGGTTACAGTCGAGGGAACGTTCAAAAATAAGGTGATAACTTGTTTTCTTTTATCATTGGCCAAGCATCATGTTTTCAGAGGTTTTACAGTAGGTGTACTTGGCTGAAAACTCCCCATCCGTCTTGTTTTTCCAGAACTCTGGAAGTCAGGTTACTGCTGAGAGTTCTGCTTTTCCACTGGTGAGATATCTGATCTTTACATTTGAGGTTGGAGAGAGGAAGACCCTTTTTTTACTTTTAGCATAAAGTCCTGGAAAGAGCTTTTAAAGCTAAGCAAAAGCTTATATCCTTTTTCCACCATGTGCAGGATTTTTATTTGGGGTTTTCCCCCTTCACAAATTCACGTCTGACTGGAAACCTCAGGCAGTGACCATAGTGCAAGAGCCAGAGTCAAAAGCCGTCAGCTGAAAGCCAGAGCAGGTTCAAGACCCTGTAATTTTGTTTTTGAAAGAGGGAGTTTTTCTTGAACCTTCTGTTGAGTAATATTTTAAATAAAGGACCTTATTAAAGCTCGAGCATATGTGCTGTATCAGGTGCATAAGGTCACGTTATACTTACTTGGAAAAATCTTGCCAAACAAAATGAGAACAGGGAATTTTTCTTTGGGTTTCTTCCCTGGCCGGACCCACTCCAAGTTCAGACCATCTGGTGTTGTACAGGAAAGGATCCGGCTCAAAAGAAAAATAACGAAACTGCTGTGGAGTGATAATAGCTGTGTGTCTGGAAGCGGTGCTTCCGTTTATCGGTCACTGCAGGTTTCATTTGGATTTGAACCACGCGCAGTGGACTCTTCCCCCTCCCAAATATTACCGTTCCCTTCGACCGCCAGAATAAGTTAGTTTTACGGAAGGAGGAAGATACGCTTGTACAGGAAAAAGGTAGCAGTGACAGCTTTCCTTGGGGGAAAAAAATGAAGAAGCTTACTGAAGAGACAGGACTGATTTTTTACTTTTCTTGCTTTCTGATCTTAATGTACAGAAATGAACAACAGGGAGCTGGTTAAGAAAATTTCAGATACCTGGAAGGAGTTACCAACATCACAGAAGCAGGTGAGTTTGTATCTTTTTCTGTGTACTTAAAACACCGTAACAGAGTCGTAGTGGTTGTTTACGCGGTTTGGTGTCCTCTGTGGGTTTTTTATTTTGTGGGATATTTTTTCATTGTGGTTTTTTTTTCTAAAACAATAATAAAAAAAGGACTTGTGTGCCAAAGTTCAGACATAAAAAGCAATTCTGAAGAGAATCGGGAGTTTTGAGACGCTCCGAGGAAGATACTTGGATACTTCTGCACACGACCTTTAGTATCTTTAATGTGTTGCCCGAGAAGCAAATGAGACAGCTCTCGCAGTGTGCGGCTCTGGGGCTGAGAACCAATACCTTGTTTTTCTTTGAACGGTGGTTGTCTGTGTGTGTGCATTGCATGCAGAGCAGCCTAAGTATTGCACAGTTGTTCTGCTTTCGTGTGCATAAGTTAGGTGAAACCTCCGTTAATTTTGATGAAAGGACCAACTTTTCTTGCTGGTTAGAGAGTAAGCAGAGACCTTATTTACAGGTAACGATGTAAGTTCCATCTAACTTGTTGTCATAGGTAGCGAACTTTCTTTAAGGGGGGAACTTTCAAGGGATAGTGTAAAAAAACCCTCTGAATTGCTAATCATGGCTGAATATAAGTGCCATTTACAGGAAAGTCCTGATTGCTCTTCCTTGATTGCAGTTAGCAGTTACAGCCACTTAGGAACTCACTGCAGTTTTCCAGCTGAAATAATACCTTTGCTCTTACATCCCTTCTGGACCTCTCGTTCTACAGGCCGTAGTATAAAATACGCCTCTTCACTTGGTTGTCTGAAATAGGGGACAGGGTGGTGTTTTTTCTCAGGCCTAGCTGGATGCTTGGTAGCCTGGCTCCGCGCTTCTTGGTGCCCCCGTACCGAGGCCGTGATTTTTATGGTACTTCTGTGCTTTATTGCTGGCTGCTGTAGAAATGTTTGGTGACTGCAGCGCTCGGGTGCTGCAGTGGATGTACACGCTTTAAGAGTAATCATTTTAACCAACCTTCAGCTTCTCCTCCTTCTGTGGAAGGTTGTTACTGCTTTGAGATGCATGAGAAGATTCATCTTATTTTATCAGATTAACTGAAATAATCCATGGGAAGAGCTTGGCTTTTGAATCTGACGTCGTCTGAGTCTGTTCTACTAATCAAATCGAGAATGGCTACGCTGCTTTTAAAACTGTGTTCTGGGGTGGTCTGTCACTTTTTTTATGTTAATAGGTTTGAAGTGTCAGCTTGTTTTGTGGGCAAGTGTGTCTGACCGAAAGCAGTTTAAGGCTGGTGATTGTCTTGTAGGTTTATGAGGAAGCTAGAAAGACAGAGTGGCAGAGATACGTAAAGCAGATGGCTGCATTTAAAGCACAGCTAACCCCAGCCCAGGCTGCAGCTTTGAAAGAAGAAAGGAGAATACGACTGGCAAAAAGAAGATCGGTCAGGGCAAAAAGAGTAAGTGTTTTGAAGTTCAAGTTTCTTTTCTCTCAAGGGAGCTGAAGTCTGTTTGTCTAGCGAACAGAGTAGGATAGAGGCATGTTCAGAAACGTAAAAGCAACTCTCAGAATAAAAAAAATAAAAAACCCACCCCAAACAAACTCGCAACACGACAGAAAAACACAAACCCAAAAGAAAACAGACCCCACAAAACCCCACAGTTATTATTATTAAAATAATGGCTGGTGTCAGCAGTTAGTTTAGTGGCCTTCCTGTGCCTGAAGACCAGAGCCGGTGCGTATCTTTGTGCTCGCAGGCAGCTTCTCTCTGCTTTTTTCTTCCTATTCCTAAAGCGACCTGAGGATCGATAACACATAAAAGACATTTGAACCAGCAACACTTTTTTGGTTGAGAAGACATCCAGAAGTAGCTTTTCACAGAGGCCTTGTATGTGTTACTTCAGTGGCCCTGACAAGGGAGTAGCTGTTTCAAGCTGCCTTTTTTCCTTCCTCTCTTCGGGTTCTGCCACTCTGCTCTGGGCGTAGTGCTCATGTGTTGAACTAGGGCTGCATAAAGGCCTGTCTGTCAGTGTCCTTTGTTAATTTATTCATACAGATCACCTTCTCCGTTTCTCTTTTTGCTGGTTTATATGTAAATCCTCAGAGACAGAACCATCTGTAAAGCTATGACATTATGGTTTGTCCAGTGGCAAAATCACTTAAAGGGGGGGGTCACCTGTTGCTTGTTCATTTCTGTGAATTAAAATGTTGGTGTGACATTGCCCTAACTGGCAAAAGTGAAATGAACTTGATTTAAAAGACCCCTATTTAGACAAAGTTTTTAATCTAAATTATTGTCCCAATCCTGTTTTAGAGTATGGTACCGCAAGGAACTTAAGTGACGTACCTGATGTTAATTTGCAGCACCCAGGCTGCAGCAGGGAGGTCTTAGGGCTGGAGAAAACAACAAGAGCAATTGCATCTGTAACTTCTTGTACTTCCCCTCTGTCGCCGTCGCCTCTGTAGCCATTCTGATAGCAGAAACCTAGTTGTGTTTCCCTGGAAACCTGCTGGTTCTGTTCCGCCTTCTCACCTCTAACAAGATTGGGGATCTGCCCTCCTCTGCAGTATTTCACACTAGAAACCGAAGCCTTGCAAAGACAATAGAAAACCCGTCGTCATGAATTTGTTACTGAGTGGAATTTAGTAGCAGTCTTTTGGTTTCTGGAAGACTTAGCGAAAGTAAGAATCAGTTTAAAATGCCTTTTTTTTTTTTTTAATGTCTGTGAAAATTCAAGTCATTAGTGTTTCTTAGTTTAGCGTAGCATTTGTCTTGACGAGTGGCGAGAGCGTCTTGACATACAGTCCGGTTTACAAAATGAAACACCAAGAAAGTGAATTGTAGTCTGATTTTTGTATAAAACATAAAGAGAAATGGTAAGTTTAGCTTTGGAAGAAATGCATTGGTAGGCTGGAATAACTTCTCTCGTTGTTTTTAAAGGAATTGAATATGCTTGGAAAACCTAAAAGACCTCGTACCGGCTTTAACATTTTTGTGTCGGAAAACTTTAAAGAAAGTGAGGGGATTTCACCTATGGTAAGCCAGGAAAGTTCTTTCTTTAAAATAAATCTGTTGTATTCACAAAATCTGGTTTAAATTCTGTCCTTTTATAAGAAGCTGTTCAGTTCATTCGATATGTGGATTCTGCTTTGCTTAGATTATTTTTTTTTTTAGACTGTGGTGATCTGGCATATCCTATATAAACTGTTGTGTGGGTATCCAGACCTAAAATATTTGTGCTATTTGTTTTGCACTCCAGTGCTACAGACTTCATGTGTTCCTTCTGCAAGGAGAGAATTCTACTTCTCTTTGGTTTGGTGCAGAAGTGCAGCAGTTTTTTCACACGGTGGTGGTGGTCTCCTACCGTTTCAGTAGTAGTGGTTGTACCTGCTGGGGCGCAGTTTGTGTTACGGAACACGCAGGAGTTCCTCAGTAGAGTCACAAGTTCTGCACAGAGCTGTGTTTTGGGGTGATTTCAGTTACGTCGGGGGATGACAGCATGTGAAATACTGAAAACCTCCCCTGTATATTCCTTACCCGATGCATTTAGTCACTCGGTCAGGATGGTGGAAATACTTTGTTCCTTGCTTTTTGCTGTACTTTGTGCTTTTTTGCGTTGGTTGACACTCAGCGTTCACTAGTGTGGCATTCATCTGTAACCCTCTGGGCTCGGTCAAGAATCCTCATGTCTTGCATATTCTGTTTCCCGTAGGCAAAGATGAAGCAATTATATGATACATGGCAAAAACTGTCCAGTTCTCAAAAGCAGGTACGTCAGTGGATTTTGTTACAGCTCTGATCTGATGGGAAAATGACCAACTTGAGTAGAAAATGAATAAATTCATACAAAATCTTGAACTCGGTTGCTCAGAATCGAATCCTGAGGAACATGAGATCGTACTTGGGTGTATTGAAAAGGATTGGCGTTACTTCTATTCCAGTAGTGCCCGTTTCGTTCGTAGTGTTGATAAAATGTGGATGGGGTAGGATGGTGGAGGCTTCGTATACCTGGAAATGGATGCTGAGTGGCATCTGAGGAAGAAGGTGGGATAACTTAGACCAATTCTATTTTTTTTTTCCACTACTATATAATACTTTTAATTGCCAGCATAGTAGTTCGCTGCTCATGGAAAGATTTTTGACAGGTAAAAGCAAGAGAAATCTACTAAGGGCGGTGCACACAGTAACTTACTAGCTTTGGTTGTCTTGAGGATGGTTTTCTGCCATCTTTCTCAGACTATTGAAGTATGAATGTGCAGATGGGTGTATGAAAATCGGAGGAGCGCTGCACTGAAATGTAATCTAAACCGACAGATTTTTCATGTATTCTCTGCCCTACTGTACTTCCTCCTGCGTGCCCTTCTTCCAGCTTGTTTTGAGTGTGATCTTAGAATGTGCACTACATTCCTGGTTTTTTTTCCTACAGAAAAAGAATTTGAAATAATTGTGCAGATATATCTGTTCCTGCTTCTTACATAAGCCAGCTCTCTCAAACTAGCACTCGACTAGAAAGCCTGAGCTGTTAGTAGCAATATTGAATAAACTTCTTCAGGAGTGGCCATCTGTTGACATAACTGTGACTCAATGCTAAGGTTTCGTATTTGTGAGTTTGATGGTTTTTGAATTTTCTGGAGGCAAAAGTGAATGCTTGGGATGTGCCCTGCAGGTCCTGCAGTAAGTGACCTTGCTGTCTAAGGGGAGGATGTGGCACAGCGGTTATCCTGACAAAGCCACTTCTGTAACGCTTTAATACGTCATTTTCTTCCAGCCGTACCTGCAGCTTGCTGAAGATGATAAGGTTCGGTACGGAAACGAAATCAAGTCGTGGGAAGCAAAAATGATTGAACTCGGACGTGAAGACCTGATCCGTTCCAAAAAGAGAATGCCAAAAAGTAAAAAGAAAGCTGGAACAGCAAAGAAAGCTGGAACAGCAAAGAAAGCTGACACAGCAAAGAAAGTTGAAACAGCCAAAGCTTCCTCACGTGAAAACAAGGTGAAGTTAAAGTTGAAAAAATCAGAAGAGTAAAATGGTTTAAGTATTTTATATCTGATGCCCTTTGGTTGTTATGTCTTTATCCTGCTGTGTTAACGCTGCAGTCGGTGTTAGCACTGGAATTTGGAAACCCCGCAAGGGGCATGAGGCGAGGGAGGATTTGGTGTCTTTTGGAACTGACTGAAATAATCATTGCAGGTGTAGCCTGAACTGTACAACAGTAACCGGTTAATCAAGCTGTGAATAGTGATACGGACATCAGCAGAGCTTTCCACTAACAGTAGATAACAGCTAGCTTTTATAAGATGTTTTTTTATGCAAGCGAGAATATTCTACAATGTTACCATCAAAATTTTGTAAATAAGTTGAAATCTGAGCTGATGCTGCTGTGTTTTATTCCCTCCATGGTATTGATAGTGAAATGTTCTACGTTTCAGTGAAAGGCACGAGAAATGTAAAATACGAACTTTATGTATCTGTCTTTTCGTACGTATCAATCTGTGTATACCACTCACGTTGCATTTAATTAAAACCATGAGTTTTGTATAAACATCTTTATTGGACTTTTATTCCCTGGTTTTGTTAGGATACGTGCAAACACTTCTCTTCCTGTTGTCACATTTGGGACAGCCTGGAAGGAAAAGAAAATGTGTGAACTGTTGGAACTTTGGGTTCTGATGCAATAAACAGATATTTTGAAGAGCTGCTTGGGGTTTTTGTTTGGGATTTCTTTTTTTTCTTGGGGTCTGTGTGTCTTAATGAAAGTCTTGCAGGTATTTTGGAGCACATGTGTTCTTAAAATGAAGGCAAGCATTTTCGGTGGATTTCATCCATCAGTGGCCTGCAAAAGCCAGCAAAGCTTCTTGTTTCCCGGTGGGAGGTGGAAAGCCAAAGCCCAGTCTCCTGCATTTTTTTCTCTCTTTTTTTTTTTTCGCCCCCCAGTGCTATGAGCCAAGGCCATGCGAACGCTGTTCAATAAGGCCAAGGGGCCAGGTCTTGTGTTGGGGTCACAACACCCCGAGCAATGCCCCGGCTGGGTGAGGAGTGGCTGGAGAGCTGCCAGGCAGAGGGACCTGGGGGTGTTGGTGGGCAGCAGCTGAACAGGAGCC